CTATATTTAAGCTTATTTCGGAGTTACTGGAGGGGTGCCAGCAGACGACAGAATCCACGGTTTGTATATTTTCACTGTTTAATATATATATATTATTCCTGTTTGCTCTGTTTTACTTTGTACACAGGATGAAATGTATGTATAACTTATACATTGGTGTTGAGATGTTCATATTTATATAGCCCTTTTCATGCCGTATATCCTCAGTCGTTGTAACCTTACTTGTCGCATGTTCTTTAGGTTTCTCTATCCATATGAAAGATTAATATTGTGCAACCTCTCTTATGAAGGTTTTTCAGACTGTAATATCAAATACTTCTATTGTCGGACATCATGACAGAACGGCAAGCTTGGTTGATTGCAGAGTTGACATGGTGGAAAATATGTCACGTGACGGAAGTGTTTCGACACCTCATCGTCCAATCCAGGCAACATAATTTCTAGGAGTGATGATAATTAAAGAAGAGAAGTGAGTGTGCTTGAGCAAAAACTATATTAATGCCATTATCGAAGTGCAGTTACATGCGCAGTACGTACGCTGTGCATTGTGATAGCTGCGTCTCCTTTTCTCCGTACATACGAAGCCATTCAACGTTTTCGCTATAATCCCTACATACATACATATCAGGCTCTGCGTCTGTTTGTCTCAAGTGATGTCTGCATGCCGGTTGGTATTTCTCTGTTCTATTACTAAAACTCCATCCATCTTTCTTTCATGCCTAGCATGCATAAGATACTGCCTTCTATCCCCTTCTCTTAGGTCCCATGCAACGCTAGGACTGGGAAGGACAGGAGTTAGATTTGCGGACCAGACAGCAAACTCCCATGGTGCGAGCAACATCTGAGGACAAGGAAGCTATATTTAGATGGGATACCCTGCTCCCGCTGGTTGAGCGTGGATTGTACTTAGTTAAATCTCTCGAATATGCTCTAGATAGGTTCATCGATATGTCAAATCAACCTTGCAAAATAGAAGCCTAAGGCGAGAAACAAAATATACCTCAGCCCTCCATATGTCCTCAAAACTTGGGGGGGGAAATGCAGCTGCAACACAAGGAAACAGGTAAAACGCATGAAAATATTTACTTCATTCTATCGGGATGGGATGGGATGGGATGGGGATCTTTGGAGCTCGGCAATTTTCCCCACCCACCCATGACGCCATCCAATGACCACCTGCCCACTCTATCCACCATCCATACATGAACACATGGTTGTTTTTAAACCCTTGATAGCGGGAGTATCTCGTATTCAGCCACATGGGCTCACTGGCGAGATAGCCAATGTGAGGAAATCAGGTTTCTCAAGAGCATCTCTTTTTGGCTTGTGAGATGGGCAGGGGGTTGAAAGGGCGGGAGAGTTGAAGAGTGTGACAAATAAACCCGCCCGGGGCAGGGTGACGAAAAATTATGTACAGATAGATTGTTACCAGGCAAAAGTACGTATGGTTCTTGACTGCGAGAAGCGTGCTGCTGCAATCTAGTCAGCTGGTCTTTAACAAGTTACAACGCCGCCATTGACTGATTGATCATCGACGTGCATCTTGGTTCTTTGGCATGATTCGCGGGGGAGGCGGGGGAACATTGGTGGTTAGGAAGGCAAGGACGAGTTTGCTATCTTACTTACAATTACCTGGAGGGCTGCAAAACCAAGACCCTGAGATGGTTCGGAATATCATCTCTGCAGAATTGCACCGCTGCAGGTAAGTTGTCAACTCTACAAATGGCCTCGTTGGCGGCATGTTATAAATATTCTCGTTTACAAGGATATCGACTTCCTGTGATCCGAAGGAAAGAGTGCGAAAGAAGATAGGGATATAACTTGGGTCTCTGCTTTCTGGAACCATCTGCATTGTGGAGGGGAATGTCATGGGAGGGCAACATAATATGTGACCATGATAGAGGAGTAGTTACTCACCCTTGCTACTCATCTCATTTGCATCCTACCACTTTAGACGCTCTGCTGGACTCGAGTCACCAGCACTGCATCGTCCAATCTTGCATGGAAGATACAGGTTCTGTGCAGCATTATGCAATAATCATGCCGGGCCGCGTCGGAACAAGGGTGTGTAAAAATAAGGATCCGTACTTGTGCGCACGCCTGGGAGCAGCTAGCGCTCAGCACAGTGCATGTACTCGGTGGGTTCCCCCTCCCCGGGGGGCCTGGCGAGTACAAAGCGAACACAGCGGTAGGTACCCCCGCATTCGCGGTCCCTTCGTACATGCTGTTGCGCACGGGGACAGTGAATCTGGAGAACAATGAACCGGTGGACAGGGAATAATCACAACCTTTGTAAAGAAAATTTTCTGCTACCTAATTTCACCTGATCCAGTGTGACGCGTCCTGCAAACCCTGCGTAGGATGAATACAGCGCGCAGGTACGGAGTACGGCTCCCAGGTACATTATTGGCATGTACAAAAAGGTTAGCTAAAGTATGGTGAAAAGGAAAAATTGACTTTTGAGTAATCACCACATGTCATCTGCGAAGAAACCTTAGGTGGTATGAGGAGTTTGATTAAGTTGAAACAGCTGAATTAGTTATTTGCTAAAGCTAGGGATATCGTGGCCACCAGTCAATCACACTGGATTGCGGAAGATGAGTAAATAATCGCAGCTCACCCCACCCGTCCTTGGTTTGGCCAAAGCGCCTAAGCCAAGAGTTGACCAGAGCATGGTACGGGGCGGAGAACAGATCCATAAGGAGTAGACGATCAGCGAGGTTGGATCGATGGGAATATAGGATACTTGTTAGTAAGCCAATGTAGTTAACTAACTAGTTAGTTAACCAAATAACTAGTTACCTAGATAACTAGATAAGAATAAGTATGACTTCTCCATCACGTATACCCTGGGCAGCCAGCCACTAATATTGACACAGTTGCCACATCTCTGCTGAAGATGGGCGTTCATGATACGGGGGGGAGTCCGAGAAGAAAGTAATGATAGACACAATTACCATCCCGGAAGGGCTACGTATGGATGACAAACAAGCTAAAGTGATTGAAGCCATCTTGTGGTACACGACGGCGATATTGCCTTTCTCTGGCTATCTCTCCGTCATATCTTGGGGTCGAGCCAATCGACGGAGGAGAAACGCCTAATAAATTAGATGTTAAATTGGAAAGACTGGTGAAAATTAATAATATTAAGAACAAGGCTGGCGCTTATTGTCAACCCCCCCCCCCTGAGCACGGCCTTTGATAGCTGTCAGTCATAAGCCGTTAGCTAAGAGAGGAGAGAAGATGAGAAGTGGACTATTGGAAGAGGGGAAAAGGAAAAGGAATAATGAAGGGGTTGGGGGGGGGGGGGAAAGGAAAAAGGATTAAAGGAATTAACAATAAGGAACAACAGCAAAGGGAAAAAGGGAAAAATAAGATAAAAACTAAACAAGGAAGAAGAAATGGTTCCCAGGTTCAATAGCACCTTAAATCCCCCTTTTTTATTTTTATTTTTATTTTTTTTGTTTTGGTGGTCAGGTTGCTTCTCTTCTGTTTACCTATCTAGGCAGTTCCACGCAATCTTTCTCTTATAGTTTTGTCCAACACCTGGAGAATTTATCGGTGCCGGATCGGATCCGTCAGATCAATTGAGATCAGATCGCCGGCAGGGAAAAATTTTATTGTTCCAGAGAGGCCCTCTGATACGTTGACTCTGCTTTAACCATTGTCGCAAGCCACATTATTGAAGAACGGCCTGTATTTGTTTGCTTCTTCTTCGTATTGGTTGTATGTAGTCGTCGAAGCGGGTGTGAAGGAAATCGAGCTACGGAGCACAAGCCTTATACTTTCTTTCTTTTTTCTTTTTTCTTCTTTTCTTTTTCCTTTCCTACCCACCAACTCCCCCCCTCTCCTCCCCTCTTCGGTTTTCCTCCCCGGCCGGCCGCGTGGCAAAGTGGATCGAATCATTCAAACGATCGAAATGGAGGAATAATGAAGTCTGGAGCCAAGGCGGAGGAGAAGCATGCCAAGGAAAAGGGATGTTTAGAAGAGCGGGAGAGTTGAGAATCTACCTACCCACTGGGCCCCACTGGCACATTGGGCCCAGTACAATTGCTTCATGGAGGTGTGAAACGTGGAGGATTGGAATGAACATGAAATTATCTCCTCTGGAGTCCGTAGTCATGTTCTCCCTACCTTGGTAGAGTCGTGGATAGGGTATGTGTCCACCAACCAGCCACCCGTGGATGGATAACGAGGGGACGTATCCGTATATCCATCTGTGAAGGTTGTTCCCAGTGTTCTTGCTGTAAACTGTATATGCTACATCGGTACAGCAACTATTTAGGATTTGCAGCTCTACCATGGACCCATGATAAACAAACATACCTTCCTTACCCCATGGATGTTGACCAAAACATATGTATATGTAGTCCTCTCTGTATGTGCATTCTGCACGTCCAAAAGAGCACTTGTCAAGCAAGACATCTTGACTACAGATGCTTGCTCTGAACCCTTGCATCAGATAAAGAAGAAGGGAGAAATAAACCATTGAGGTAAAATCAATAAAATAACAACCACAGGAGAGGCACTCTTCCTGGCACTCTGTGTAAAGGGAGCCCACAGAGTTTGTCTGTTCATCTGAATGTATCTCGTTTTTCTTGAATCTGCCAAAGTTGTTGTCAAGGCCGAGTTTAACAGCTCGACAGTTAGTAGGAGCCCAATAACCCAATAACCCAATAACCCAAATAACCCAATAACCCAATAACCCTATAACCAATAACCCAATAACCCAATAACCCAAAACCCCAATGACCCCAACGTCCATCATATATGTGAGAAGTCCCTGATAGGAGGGAGTTGTCCCTATACAGTTCACTAGCAGATTTAGCCCGTTCTCCTGCCACGTGCCAGCTCCCACTCGCATGCTGCCCTCCTTCCTTCAAGGACCTTAGGCCTTCTTTCGCTCCTTCCTGCCTCTCTGTCTCTGCCTCTTGTCTCTGCCTCTGCCCAACTCCACCCCCCTCATTCCTTCCTTCCTTCCTTCCTTCCTTCCTTCCTTCCTACTTCTGCTCCTCCCTCCTCTCCCTCCTCCTCATTCTCCTCCTCTTTAACCTCTTCTTCAGCCTCTTCTTCTTCTTCCTCTTCTTCTTCTGCTTCTTCTTCATCTCTCTACCATCTAGCCAGCTTTCAACCACCAACCGCCGTCCTCGACTCTGTGGATTGACAGTCTTGTCTGTCTCCATTTTCATTGCTGCAATCCTCCTACTCACTTACGCGCCGCTTGCTATCTTGGGCTGTGATTGTTGTTGTGCTGTGCTCTGCTCTCTGCTGTCCTGCGGTGGTGTAGTGTGGTAGTGACACCCCCCACCTCTCCCTTCTTTGAACGGTTCTGCCCCATATCTTACTCACCCCCCTCCTCCCAATCGCACTTTTGAGGGGCCCACTCTCTCTCCTTATTCTGTCCCTCACCTTCTCACCGCATGCTCTTTTTTATCCCCTATCACCCCACTGGTTTACAGCACTCTCCTCCTTGTTCACTTTCTCAATCCTCAGCTGTCTGGCTTCTTCTAACCTCTTGGCAACAGGTATCAAGACGATCACATCGCCATACCCCATTCTTCCCTCCTTTTTTAACCCCAATCTCTCTCTCTCGGTCTTGGCCTTATTCGCCCTTGCCTTGTTCCTCACTATACTTCTATCCAAACCGTCGTCCTTTCCTCCTCCCGCCGCCGCGCTCCAAGGGGCGCACCATCGAGCCAGATGGATGTATCCGTCTCATATCGCCCGTGGGAGGAACTCCGGGTTGGCCAGCACAATTCACAGAAACTCCCCTCGATCTCCACCCTCACCGCCAGTATGTGTCTCGGTAATATTCCCCCTGCAGAAAAATCGCCGGTGCAGTCCTCCCTGAATACCGTTGAGCGCGACTCCGGCAATTGGTCCATGTCCCAGAGTGCCCGTATGTTTATCCGCCTTGAATTTTTATTTTTATTTTTATTTTTATTATTTTTATTATTTTTATTTTTATTATTATTATTATTTTAAAAAAAGTCTTTTTATGATGTATTCAGCCAAGTGAAACCAGTTCTAATTAAAATTGCCAACTAACTCGACTTTCATCTATCTTCCTAGGCTCCTCCACCTACTCCAACACCACCAATGGTACCAACGGCACCAACGGCACCAGTGGTTATGCCCAGTTCTCTTACCTCACCTCCTCTCAGCACTCCCCGAAACGCCTCTCCGCAGGCGTATCTGACCGTTCCCAGCCTCAAGTTCAGCCTCAATCTCAATCTCGATCGCAATCGCAATCCTCACAGGATCAACCACATACTCCGTCCTCCATAACCGGGGGCCCTCAACAACATTCGCCAAGCTACACCTCCCACCAGCCAAATGCCGTTCTCCCTTCAAGAAACCAAAGCTTCGACGGTGCCGTCCAGCGCCCTCCGACAGATTTCCCCGAATCTCGTCGCAGTAGCGTCGACAGTAGAATGAACCAGGGGATTAGTTCCTTAGCCATTAACCCTGCCTCTCCATACAACAGCACAAATGTCTCTCAGTCCTCTATAGTTTCCAGCCTACAACGCGATCGCGGCATTTCTAGTGATTATTCAAACATTACCAGCCAGCGCGGCCCTCGTTATAATGGGGACCATCCACTCTCCCCGCTCGGTCCCAGGAATGGCCATCGTTCCTTTCCGGTGCGCCGCACTGCTCCTGCTATCTCTAGCAACCCTCATGCAGAAATTTATAATGCAGAGTCTCCTACGGCAGGCCAAGCCTATGCCTTTCCGGACCCCGATATGGCTCGTGCGTCCGACAAGGGAAGCTGTGGTCAGCCATCTAGTCCGTTTAACCGGCGGGGGAGCACGGTGGAATCTATTACTAGCAGTGTGTTTACTACGGATTCCAGATTGCCACCTGGCCAACATGGTTTGTTCGCTTTTTCCCAAATTTATAAGTTGTTTTTGAAAATTGCATAATTCTAATAACCTTTATGGTTTTTACGGGATAAATAGAACTACCTCAGAGTGTCCATCATCATTCATTGCAGCAGAAACAGGTTAGAGATTTAATGGGGGATCCAGAGTCGCCAAATGGCACCACGCCGTACAGCAGAACCCCAGAATTGCGCATTACACATAAACTGGCTGAGCGTAAAAGACGAAGCGAAATGAAGGACTGTTTTGAGCTTCTGCGATCACGGCTACCGTCGAGCCAGAGTAGCAAGTCTAGTAAATGGGAGACTTTGACGAGAGGTGGCTTAAGCCTTTTTCTTTTTTTCATCTTTTCATGATTTCCAGCAAGTGAATACGTAATCCTAACAGATACAATTACATAGCAATCGAATACATCGGCCAACTCGAAAAAACCATCCAACAAACCCGCCATGAAACCGGCGCTTTAAAGGCCGAAGTCAACGATCTACGCCAACAACTAAATGATCAGCTTCACCGGCAAGCGAGCGGGCAGCAGCAGCAACACCAACAGCAACAACAATCACCCTACGACCGGCCCCAACTGCAGACTAACGGCATATCACCACAGTCTCAAGCAGGACAGGCACAGATTTTTACTAACGGGCCATATTCTTCGCCCACAGCAACTCAGCAACCACCGCAAATGGATCCGGCGAGGACGTTGCCACCCCTGATGAATGGGGCACTGGCCCCTATGCAAGGGGTGCAGTATACTGAGGAACGGCGATGATTATTTTTCCTGGGCCACTTCCGAAATCTAATATTTTCTGCCTTCCCATCCCTCCATCTGTAACCTTCCTACCTGCCTGCGTCCCTCTCCACCTCTTCGCATCGGACATTTACTCGTCACAGTCCACCACCAACATACCCACCTACTCTTATCCCTTGCTCTGGCATCAGCCATATGGTCATATATTACCTGTCGTGCGATGATGCCAGTGATATCGGGCTCCAGTCTACAACCTCACATCTACAACCCGCAGAGTCCAGCAACTGCACTGCAGCCCACCACTTTACAGCAGAGCCATGACACGACACGTGTTGAAAGACTGACTACCTGGCCTACCAACCTTCAACGACAAGGCTGATAAAATCCGACCTTTCATTAGCGAGGTTTGTTGCTTACATGAGTACTTCATACTAGGAACTGTGAATTGGGAAGATTTTGTATTGATATTTTTCGACTATATTAATATGGTTGACGGATTGAATTGGATGTGTATCAGCGTTAGCTATGTGGTATTTCTTTTATCTATGTCTTGTCTTCCCTCTCTTTTTCTCTGTTTTCGTGTTTTTCTTCCCCCGAATTTTACGCCATCAACATACCTAACTGGCAAAGGACCGCCATTTACTTGACTCACTTTTTTATTGTTGATTTTCATTGATTGGGACTCTCAAGACTGAACTGGGAGTTTTTTCTTTGTCTTTTCTTTTCTTTATACCTATGTGCGTTGGCTGGAAGGTTTATACCATTTACACTTCCTGATACCACTATTCCACTTGGTTCCCTTGTTTATATTTCTTTTCCTTTTCGTGAACCAGATGTTTGCTTTTCTCCTATTCCCTTTCTTCATATTGCTTCTAAAAGTTCTTTCTGTTTATCTCTTCAGCCAGATACTCCAAAGACAGGTTTTTTCCTTTGTACTGTAATTTGCTCTTTTTTTTTTTTTTTTTTTCCCCTCTTACCTTGTCGTTTTTTCGTGATCGTTTTATCCTTCAAAGTTTCTCCCCCTTTTGAACTCCTACGACATTCTATATTACTCTGCATAAACTAACTCAATGCTTAGTTTAACTTTGCGTACATACTATATACCCCATCAATGTCTTCATATTTCCTTTTTACCCTTTTTCTATCTTAAATCTACATCTATTCAATATCATCATGACTTTCCCAGTTTAATCTTTTTTCTACTTCTAATTTAACACCAACTTTATCTCCAGCATACTCGGAAAACATATTTCTATTACTGAATTTTATTTTCATTTCATTTTCATTTTATTTTCATTTCATTCTATATATTTCCTATTCTATCACAGAATATGCTCAGCTTATAATACTGTCATTTTCTTCTCTGTTTTATGAGATTTAGGTTTAATGTGGTTTAAGCTGTTTTTGAGAATAGTCAGGGAAGACAGACGAGGGAAGTGAGGCAAGAATGGGAAGGATGAGATCACAGATATTGCATGAGGTATGACAGACGTAAGAAGCAGAATGGATGATGTCAATGTTAGAATTTATCAATCAACCGAATAACTCTTTGCAGATAAACACATGGTTGGTTATGAAGGAATGAATGTTGGTACTAAGTATTGCCTTTTTTAATGGGGCTATTGCTGAGTGTTTGGGTATGCTGAATTTACATACCTACTTTTCAAAATTATCTCGACGATCTTGCTTAAGGAAGCTATTAAGACATACGATGATGGAGATGAAATGCTGATCTGCTGGTCCGTGTCAGACAAGACGTTGAAGCTTTAACGTACGGGCTTTGTTGACATCATATATCGAAATTTATACACTATCTGGCACATACGATCGCAGGGAGTGAAAAGCAGGGATTCCCGTCCGCTTAGCTGTACTTGAACCTCCTACCGGCCGGTTAGCAGCTGGTTGGGAGGGTGACCACCAGCGAATCCCGGATGATGTGGTACACATACATATATATTGGACGTATATATCATTTCTGATCCTTGTTTTAGTAAATATATCTCTTAAGAGATAATTTATTTACTTCTCACTAAGATCTTTTTATTTTCAAGAAGGGTATTTGACCTTTGTGGAGGGTAGCAATGAGCTGCTCATGCTTTCCGACAACTTTTTTTTTCCGTTGTGTTTGCACCTTCATCGAAAGGTGACTCGCTCATAAACCTGCGACTCTAGGAAGTGGAAAGCTGGGTTTCCCGTCTGCTCAGCCATTCTGAATCCACCCGCCGGTCAGCTAGTAGTTGGCTGGGCGAGCACCAGCGAATTTCCGCTATCGTATGATGATGGCATCTTTCCTGCTGCTGCGGGTTTTTATTTTTATTTTTTTATTTTTATTTTTATTTTTATTTTTATTTTTATTTTTTTTCGGCTTTGGGACTGGTGTTTAAGTCAGAGAGGTCTATAGGACCAGTGCTTTGAGGGTTGATATGGTGGGGATGGTTATTGAAAGAATTTCTGTTCCAGTTTTAGGAGTGCGGTGAAATGAATCATATATCATCAGAGGGATGACATTGGAATCGTTTGCGACGGGGCCTATGAACAGTTCCTCCAGATTAAGCATCCACTTCAATCGTCCCAATAAGAACCTGCTTTAGCGGAGTTATTGGTTAGACGATTCATAAAGAGGGAACAGTAGCAGTCCCACAGGTCTTGCTGGCTTGAGGACGGTGATTGTTTCATTGCTCAATCCTCCAGTTTCCTCGCCCAGATATGCTCCAGATAAGATTTCTCTTCCACAAGGAGGTAGTCGCCGTAATAAATAACCCAACCCAATGCTTTCAGGGTCGTTGGATCTGTTAACAGCATTGTTCCAGACTGGTGGTATCCATCGGGGTTGTGGATGGCTGGTAGCTGGGTAGATGATGTTTAATGATATAATCGAATTCCTCGCTTAATCTTCAGTCTTCTCGGACACTGCCATTTGGGTATAAAGCAGTGACCATTAACAATGTCTATCAGCCCTCTGGATTCTAGAATGAATGACAGGCTTCAATCTCGATGGAATGAATGGCTTGTTTTCCCGTTGGACCAATGACAGGCTCAAACCAGGCGCCAACAACCATGACTAATTCGGCTTGCCGCCCAATCAGTCCGTGGAGCCTCCTCTGCGACCCGTGGTTGGCCAAAGCCGCTTAGCTTGTTTCAACGTCAACTCCATTCTTTGCTCGACTTTGACCCCCGTGTTCTTTGCCCTCACAGGCTCACTCACGTTCCCTGAGTAATATCAGCATTCATCTGCCCCCCGCTGCAGTGCTCTATTCAATCCCCTGACTGGACGGTGAGTACTCGCTGGACACCGTCCTACCACCCGGGATTAATAGCAAAAGGTTCATGCTGGTGGTTGGTCCAGAGGGCAGGCGGTTGGGTTGAGCCGGACACACGCACCCTACCCCACCCCATATTGCCGTTCGTTGCCCACGCTTTATGCGGATACACACGGCGGGCCAGGTTCTGTGGAAGATGCAGGTCCTCATCTCCACCGATTGGACAGAAGAGATGTACAAACTCGTCTTGAGTCGTGGCTGGTAGCGCCCATCATGAACAGGGAATGCTGCTTTCATTGTTTCTGGAACCATAAGATACCCCACTCTCGTGGTTTATCCTGAGCTAAATGCCTTTAATTCTCCATACGCAGCTGGCTGGCAAGGGGGGGATGCCGTGCTTTTTATAGCTATCGTTTTTTAATCTTTGATTTCCACCTATCCTTGGCCAAGGCAATTTCGATCTGATTCGTGCGAATTCGCGCCAAGGGAGGGTTGTCCCTGTGATCGAGATTGGAATTATACTCTCTATCCTGTTCCTGTACCTGGCTGAGAGATGGGTGGATGTGTTTTTCCTGCCAATATTCTCAATATTCTTGACTCATAGCATCTTCTGCTCTCTGTACTGTCTGTTGACATTTTTTTTTTCTTTTGTCAATTTTCTATCCTTCACCTGTTTTCTAATTTTCCAAATTGCTTAGCATCTCTCTCTTGATATGATTGATTATTGAAGATCACATTTCATTTTCAAAGTGAATAATTTGTGTGCAATTCAGAAGCTGTATTCACTTTGACAATTTTAGAATTTGATTGTTCTTACATTATTCACTCTAGGACTGTCTCGCCAGCAACAGAACTGTTGAAGAATCTCAACACAACCATTTATAACCTTTACATTCACTTTGTTTACTTGTTATTGTTTGACCATTCCATCTTTGTGAGAATTTCCGCTTGAGGAATTTCCCATAATGCCGACTCCATAAATTCCTATGTTTAGATGACCCCATGCAGTTTCGCCTTGTTTCGAGTATCTCCTGTCAAGATTGTGTTTGGATTCTCGATAGCAGCAGAGGATCTTAAAACATATGGTGAGTATCTCCTGTGTTGACTGCTTCTGTAGACCTGATGCATGTATTGACTTTGGAGGTGGTTTATATCAGCATGTTCGTCTGTCGTTAATGACTTACCGAGATAAATACCCATCGCCCATTCGAGGTTCCCTCGTCTAACGACGTGTCGCTGTCTTCACACCTTCGCGTTCATACAATGCCTACTTTTCCATTATCTTCTCCTATAAGAGAGGAAATTCCCACTCCATTTGAATCCCCCAAAAGCTCGCATTTGGCTCAATCAGACCAAGCCAACCCCTTCGAATCGACCGAAGACAATTTCTGCGAAGGAGTATTTCTGGATAGCAGCTATGCGGGCCATAATGTTGGTCGAACGGACGATCTGCAGAACCTCCTTGATGAACCCTCCCAGGCTCCTCGCCCTAGTCGTTGGGATTCCATCAAACGCCCTGGTCGCACCATCTTGAAACGGAATGGCAAGGAAGGTCCCGCGAAAAAGATACGCCCTGGCCTTAATCTCGTGACGAACTTTGCCAATGATACCAAGTATAAAAGAGACGCGGCTTCAAAACGGCGACAGTCCGTAGCTAGAGGGTTTATCGATCTGCAGGATTTGAAATTACTCCCTATAGGAAAGGAGACTGCCAGGCAAACTCCTGAAAGCAGACTGGGAGCGATACGAAGGAGGTCCTCAACAAAGGGATATGGGCAGATCAAAGACGGCCTCGGAGAGACTGTGCGAGGCCCAAATACGACATCCCATAACCAACAATCAAAGAAGTGGCCTTTGGATGCTTTGCGGGTTTCTCCTAGTAAAGCACAAGATCTATCACCTTCCGACCGCCCGATTATGATTGGATTAAGCGTTCCATACAAGGACACTATAGCTTCGGGAAAGACCAAAAGAGCCGGTAATGATAACACACCAACAAAGATCCTTGCGAGCCCGACCAGTCAAAAAAGCTCGAATACTACGCCAGTTACCCCGTCTATTATTGTCACACCTGCCAGAGACAACAACCCTTGGGATCCTTTCAGTGGCAACCCGGAAGCCTACCGTACACGACCCGCTTCAAGTGTCTATTCTCAACCAACCCCGCGGCTGAAGGACGGCCGTCCCAAATCCATCATCCCCCCTGTACCTGCTATTCCTACATCCCACACGTCTGTAAAAGCCATGGAGACTAGTGACATATATGTCGACCCGGCTTCGACGCCTGCTCGAAGACACCGCGCATTCTCCACTGGAACCGTATTTGAAGACGATTCGCCGTCAAATCAACGACTCAGCCGCCCCCGATCATTTTCGGAGGAAAGCAAACAAGAATTACCCAGCAGGTTCAGTGTTGATACCATTGCCACAAGGCGTCGATCACAAGGATGGTGGAATTTCTTACTCTCTCCTCTTCTTTCCAGGTCGAACACCATCGCCAGTAAAATGAGTTTTAAATCACCCCAAGACGAAACACTGCCGGCTATTCCCCCGTTTTCCAATGCACTATCAGCGCATGTTGCTGGTAAATATGTGGAAGTTTCTTTCTTTTCACCAGATACACCTCTGGGCGGCGAGGAGAAAGAAAGTGTATGGGCATCTTCTGCAGCCACTGCAGGCAAACCTAATGTTGGCGGTGAAGCATTTGATTCTGAAATCGATGATGATTATGACGATGATTGCTCACAATCATCACCTCGTCAAGCGATCAATAAAACCTCCCACTTCTCTACATTTTCTACACAAACCATTCCGTTCATGATTTCGAGCCCTAGTTCAGCAGGTTTCTCACAGCAACATTTCTACGAGTCAGCACATGACCAATTTACCACAAGTCGAGTTTCCCAGTTCAGTTCATTAGCGAATCCATATCCCAGGCCGTTTAGGAACGCTGAATCCTTTTCACCTATGTCTAATGACAGGACTCCGACACAAAATCAAAACTTCAATAATCCCTTTTTCCAGCGCTTTGCCGACAGCATAAAATATGGAGAAGACTCAAGAGAACGATCGAATTCTGACTCGACAGTGATCGAAGACGAACTAGATTTCTCCACAAATGTTCGTCAAGCGACAGTAACGCCCTTCCTCAGAGCTGCGACGGTGGGGCCATTCCAAACTACGTCGACTATCCGTGCCAGACCGTTGCCAACAAGGGACCAGAAGTTGCTGCCGGCGATGCCTCCATCAATGTCGATTCAACAAAAAAAATCAGACTCGTCTCCAAGTTTAAGTCTGGGATCATCGACAACGCAACCTCCCCCTTACTCCCCACCTAAAAGGATTACCCAGTTTCGGCGGTATAGAGCTATCCCGCCCCCAAATTTGCAACCTCAGCCTCTATCACCGGGACCTCTCTCGCCAGCGAGCCAGACGCAGATGGCATCAAGAGGTGGAATACTGTTGTCTACCATGCAGCAACCTCAGCCTCCTGCTGCTATGTTTGACCCTTCAAACGATCATGTGCAGCGTGGTGTTCTGCCACCGTGTCTGCCAAATAACCCTGTCCACCTGTCAGATGTTGAAAGGCCAATGAATGTACGAGCACAGAACGAATCCAGGCGTCAGAGACTAGAGCGAGAAGATGAAATTGGGAGAACGGTTGGAGGTCTATGGCACGGTAGGGGCTATTTTAGTGACCGCGGATGTTTTGGTAGACCTGGGCGAGAAGGAAGAAAAAAACGTCGATGGTACATGGGTATTGCTACTGTTTTAACCATAATTATTGTTGTCAGTATTGTGCTTGCTGTTACCCTCACAAGAAGGCGTCATGAAGAAGCCGAACCGGCGCGTTGGCTGAACCTGACAGGCTACCCTCCCATGCCAATTGGAATTTCAACCATTGCAGGACCGGATGCCGCTGTTGCTAACTCTGGATGTATACGCCCAAGGTCCATGTGGAGCTGTGCATTACCCAAGGAAAACCAGGAAGCAAATAAACCCTTTGACTCCGACCAACCAAACTTTAGGTTGCAGATAAATTTCCGAAATGGCAGTTTTCTCCATAGCACAGTTCCATCCCAGTCAACGACCGCAAAGAGATCAATCTTCACGTTCCTGGCCACTTTGAACCCTCTCCCGGGGCTTCTTAGTCGGCGCTCCCTACAAACCAGGGATACCCAGTTCTCACCAAATCCCGCCCCGCCAAGCAACCGCGAGCAGATGTTTCTTGGGAATACAACAGATGGAGTTACCGCTCCCTTCGCCGGAGAAGATACTCCATTTTTCGCAACCTTCCTATCGCCTGAGTCTAAAAGAGCAACCTCCCGCCAGCGACGCGCGGATATCCTAGGCTCATCTGGGGACCTGAATCTAACCTATGTTATTCCCCAACCGGCCCAAAACTCGGATGGAACCTCCGCGCCTGCAAATCTCTATCCTCTTCCCATCTCCCAGCCCATTCGCCTGTATGACCGTGGTTTTCCTACAGAGCACTACGGTTTCTATTCTTACTACGACCGCTCGATCTTTCTCAAATACGACTTCCCGCTCAACTCGACTAATACAGACGTAGCTCCAGACGATGAGCACGGGGGCTCAACGCGAGCTGCTGCTCGTCACCGCTGCACTTGGACCCAAACCAGATTCCTCGTGCAGTTTTGGACAAAGCCCTCCCAGAATAATATGAACCTGACCCCGACACCTTCAGCCACATCTTCCCCAGATTCTACAACGCCTTTCCCCACGTCCACTTTGAATTTCACACGCCCGGGGTCCTTCCCATATCCCATTACCATTGCCCTGGACAGACATGGCGGAGATCCAAAATCCAAGATGGTCTATTGCTATCAGCTGGATGTGGCGCAACGGTACCTTATGGAATCAAAGCAGCTACAGATAGAGCTGCGAAATTTTGGAGGCTCGTTAATCAATCCAGGAAAGCTATTTAATGGTATGCCTTTGGCTGGGGGTATTGAGAAGAGGACTGTGGACATGGATGTTGGGGGATTTGATGGGGGAAATGGGGGCTGTCGGTGCGAGTGGAGAAACTGGTTGAGAAGCAGGTGAGCCGCTGGGTCAGTCCCTTTTTCTAGCTATATGGTGCTACCGTTGATTATTTCTAGGCTTGTCTGGCTGATCGGTTGGAGCGATTGATGCCGTAATTCATGCGTATTTCCTGTACAACACACTGTAGAATAAGTTATGCTGTTGACTTTAGTTATTTTTATTTTTATTTCTATTCTCTTTTCGTTAACCCCCCCCCAACCTATTCCCTGTCTTTTATGGTATATTTGTTTTCAAAGAAATTGATTTGTTAACTATCACGTCTGAATATAAGTTAAAGAAGGTTTAGCTGTTTCACGACGCAGCGTTATCTGAAGATTTCCCTCTCAACCAATTGGATGAATAACGTTTTCGACCTCGGTCACTGAATTCCATGACCCCGATGATCAAGGGTAAAAAGACAGCTTTGCCAGGCCCAGATCCTTCGACGGATATGGCGGACAACCGGAGATACTTTATTAATTATTGGATATCTCTTTTAATTATATAAATCTAGTAATTATTCTTATTATTCTTATTAGATCTAAATATAAGTAGAGAACGTATATTTATTTTAATTAGAATATAAATAGAAGCATTTTATAATATTAATAAATGATTATCAATCTTCTTTAATAATAATTATTTTACATAACTTATATTCTAAGTATAATTTATATATGTATATTATCTTTTAATATCTGGGGATGATATTATTATCTTAATCCTATATATTTATTAAACTAAGACTGTTAATTGTGTTGAACACTCTATATAAATACCAAAAATTTAAGACTTATCTCTTAGTCAACCACATAATATGGATAACTTCGAACTTGCAGAGCTAAAACTATTCATCCTAAGTGGAACCCGGTACCTAATTTCAGCATACCCATAATCGCTCGAAATAAGACTTGAACATATAACCGAAACGGTTGTTCCGCTCTACCTATTGGACTTCTCGAGCTATTTATATTAATGGAGCTTCTAGCTAAATCAGAAACTTTTTTAGATAAAAGTTGATCAATTTTTTTTTTTTTTTTAAAAAAAAAAAAAAAAAAATTAAATTATGATTCATTTTATGATTAAAGATATTGTCCGAATATAATTAACTATCGGGAATTGGATCGGCAGGTGCCGATCCCCACTCGGTAGGGATGAAATATCAAACGCCAGTGGGCGAACTAAGACTAATCTTGCTGACGGGATGCCCCGCACAGAGGCTTCTCCAAATAGAATCGCGGGAATCAGGTTTGATATCAGCGAGAGTGGGACTGCAGAAACAGATGTCTCTGATTTGCAACATGGGTGTTGATAGAATCGGGAACTGATTTTGCATATTTCAGCTATTTTCATGTGCTCGCCTTTTTCTATGAGTTAGTTAGCGCAATCTCAGTTAAACCACGCTCCACATATCAAAATCCTGTTGCAATCATATGATTATCATCTTCTTTGAGAATTTGTGACAAATCTCCGCAGGAGATGGTGGTGCTAGAGGCGGAAATCCGAAATCCCTGGCCGGCCCCAGTTAATCAGGGTAGTTGCGGGGCGGATTCAATTCCTCGAGCATGATTGATAACTGGATTCTTAGTTGATGTATGAGGAACGAAAAACAAAATACGGACCCTCAAACATGTTGTGGATTCCGCAGTGGTTGGCTACCCCTTTCATATGGCGGGCATCGTAGCGTTACTACGTCCATCTCCTTGCGATATGTTGCGCGTTGTATGAGAGCGGGACAGGACCACAACAGGGGGCGGAGCCACCACATTCCATTATTTACGTCCCCGCCCTTGTAAACGTGTGGATCACCGTATGAGGCACGTCATCATCCGCTGGAGCCCGTGACGCTTGAGGTGTCTTTTAAGGCCGATATATATCCCTGACAGCGTCGCCGAATTTGCAACTCCTCTGGGCACATTAGTCAATATATGGACGGGTACATTTCTATCACTACGTGTCATCGAAAATAAGCACATACGTAACTCTTTGCAGTAAACTAATTCTGCTTCCTTTAACCTGGACAGAACCGCTATCTACCTTCCAGTCACCGTCACATTCGTTGCCGCGACGCAAGGCCAGACCATTTGGGGCCCGGCAGTATATGTGTCTTCCTGGATTCGACTCCCGCCTTGATTGGAGCCACACCAATCCCAAGCGGCTCCCTGGTCCTTGTTATCATGATCACCAACAGTATCAACGTCGAAGTTACTGCAATATACGAAGTGATCACTGTCATTGACTGGTTTATGGACCGTTTCCGAACTGCAATCAATGTCACTGGGGATCTTTATGGAGCTGCCATTGTGATAAAGACGAAGATGTCGGAGACTGGTCGTTGCGTCAGACCGGGCAATGATTGATGAGAGTGAACAGACACAACAGTCGAGGCAGGATAGACACGTTTAGACAGAACTTCAAAGAGAGGGGTATGCGATGTGGGTAGTAGCCCTTCATTATTATATATATTATACGGGGGATATATTTAATGAAAAAGTATGACAATATTTTTAGAGAGAAAGGGGATGTTATGCTGAGAAAGTTGTCGCTCGTATTCCAAGGAAGTTTAAACCTAGTCCGTAAGTTAGCACTCTAACTACCCTGGGCGAGAGGCGGAAGTCTAGTATGTATATTTCTCTTTGTTTATCGCATTTCTCAGATTGTCAAAATACTGCGTTACATCTCTAGCCCGCAAGTTAGGAGGCAATCTGTATATAAAGTCAGACCTATGCTTCCATAAGTGGAATAAGTAACTAATATAGAAAGCATTCTTACTCGTTCCGTTTCACCCTCCGTTGAACACATAGAATATCTCCGTTTCCCAATTCAGCGCGCTCAAATGTTGTATTAACATCGACGCTGAGAATCATTGAGGGCTTCACTTCCTGATAATTTGTCAGAGTATCCAGTCAAGCGCCCCCCCCCCCCCCAACCCCCCAAAAAAAAAAAAAAAGGCCACATGAACAACAGGAAGAAGAAATTGAGTTCTCACCTCGTGGACCGAAAATTTGACGTCCCTTGGCCATCCCATTGCTGTCAGGACGGTAGGACCAACTGCACTCCCCTGTTGAACGTAGAGAGTATTAACGCCACCCAGTGTTTGATTAACCACATCGAAATACTTGAGAAATATCATGATTGTTGTCCCCTCAGTGGTCACTTTGGGTGGGGGCACTGGTACTCCTGCCACTGTCGGCCCAACTTCAACCCAGAGTTGGTGGATTTTTCCTCTGGCAGCAACATTTAGAAATGCCTTTTCGATTGTAACTTCAGGCTGAAGCAAAGGCACATGCGGTCTGCGTGTTCCATTTTGTCGATTTATACAAATCCACAAGGCAATA